AGTTCAAAAGCTGAACAATGATTTGAAACAAAGGGAATTGGAGGAGGGAGTGTACCATCTCTGCACTTGTGTGCATAGCTTACTAGTCTGTGTTTGCGGATAATTGAAGTTTAAGTATGGAAACAAGGAAAACAACGTTGAACAATAAGAAAATCAAGACAGTTTTCCAGATGTTATTTGTACAAGGGTAAATAGCTGGAAGTTTTGTCATTCATGGTATGTACTACTTATTTTGACGTTTTATGTTTTATCTTTTTCTTTCTGGTACTGGGCATTTTTGCTCAAAGTAGCTACACAATCACTTGAGTCACATTTCACTTCCTTATTTTCTTTCTGGCTAATTGGAGAAGAGTTTCAAGGTTTCATCATCTGGGACTGGCTCTGAACCAAGACTCTCAGAACTCCATCTCCTGAGTAGCTAGTTAAGGAGTGAGCCACTAGCACCCGGATCCACTTTTCTTTATACAAGTGCTTTTTCTTTTTTTTCTTTCTTTTTTTTTTTTTTTTTTATAAAATTTACAGTGCAAAAAATAAGTTGTGGTGATATTTTAGAATTAAAGAGAAACCGCTCATAGAAGAAAAAATAATGGTAATAACTCATTTGCTTAGCCAGGGACTAGGGTTTGCAATATTGAGTGCCAACCTGTCTAATTATAAGTCCAATATATTGAGGTTGATGTTATTATTCACCAGTCTTTACATGCAAGGGTATTAGCCATGCTACACCAATTTCTTTAAAGGAGTTACTGGACAATTAAAGTTTGAAGAATTTCTGAAATAAGAGTCCAGAAATAGTCTTAGAGGAGCACTCAACAATAGAATAGTATTGGCACAATCAGATCAGCCAAATTGCAAGGATTCACACAATACGTAAGAGACAGATTTAGCATTCATCAGAAGGATGACTGCTTTTTCTAAGTTTGAAGGCATGTGCGTACAGTTCAATTACAATTGTTTAAAAAAGAATACTTTAGAATATTTCCCTTAGAGGACAATTATTTTGAATCCCTTAGAAAAGAACATGTGCATTCAGGCTGGGTACCCAGATTAGTAACAACTGATGTGTCTGAAATGTTTGCACAAGCTCCTTAACCACAGTGAACCTGAATACTACTTTGATGTCCAAGAACCAAGATATCCGCCATCCTGAGAGGCATTTTCTCAAGGCATCGGTGCCGATGTATTTTTTCAAGCAATTCATGGAGTCCTAGTTACTGTGTTACTGAAGCATTCAAAGTGAATTCTCCAAGAGCATGGTAAGTGGTATAATTAATGAGACATTAGCATTCACACCAGGTTTCATTCTTCTTCCATCTTTTCTTTCTTTATTAGGAAACAGCTCCTTTTTTTTTTATCTAATTGATGTAACTTGTGAATCTTTAATCTATTCATTATAGTCTTTTCTTCTCATCCATAGTCTACCCTCATAAAGTTCCATGTCTTCTAGTCAAGGACCACTTCCTACTGTATAAAGAATGCTCACACAAACACTGGGACCCTGAAGCCCTTAGATTTGCAGTCCTGCCCTGGCTACTCTCAAACACATTTGCCCTGACTGAAAAAAAATGGGTTCCAAGGTATTTTGTTTAGAAATTCAGTACCATGAATAAGTTGTGGTGATATTTTAGAATTAAACTGAAACTGCTCATAGAAGAAAAAAAATAATGGTAATAGCTCATTTGCTTAGCCAGGGACTAGGGTTTTCAATATTAAGTGCCAACCTGTCTAATTATAAGTCCAATATGTTGAGGTTGATGTTATTATTCACCAGTCTTTACATGCAAGGGTATTAGCCATGCTACATCATGCTACACCTTTTATTTGCTAGCAGAATACAAGGTCAGCTTAGTTCAAAATAGAAATGCCTTCATAATAACATAAAAGAATACATTTGAATGACCTCGTAAATGAAACAATAAAAATAAATAAAATGAAATAAGCCTTACTGTAGAAACAAGAGTTCTAATGGGGAAAAAATCAGTAACAACTCAAAAAATTGTATGTGGTAAGGAAGGAGAGTGGAGGGTATTGTTTTCAGAGCATAAACAGCTGAAATTAAATGAAATTTAAACACGGGACAGACCAAACTGATTTTGTGTGTGTGTGTGTGCCTCCTATAATTATTATAATTCGAAGATAGAGGCCATCTTGTTATAGAGACCATCACTGCTTATAATCTTTGCACATCCAAGATGACTTTCAAATAGCCTAATAAAAGTACATTCAAATTACCTAGGAAAATAAACTCCAATAAAAATTGGCACTATAAATTGGAAAGCAATAGGTAGAAAGCTTGATTTATTGATAAGTGAGAGTATACTATATATATTCTACATATATGGACTGTGCATTATGAGATCACTCTAACATAAAGGAATTGCAGGAGATAACAATAAATTGATGCAGAGATTAAAGGAAAAAAATATCACACATCCCACAGGTGGGTAGGCTTTGCTTCATAAATTGAATCCATTTATTTTCAAATAACGGGTGTCAGTTGAACAAAATTATACCAGGAATGATTGTTTTCTAAGGAAAGATATGGCCAATGGTTTGGTAAGATAAATGATCATCTCATAAGTAAAAAAGAAATGACTTCCCATTTTACGATTTTGAAGGGTTCTCATATATCCTATTAGATGTTCCTAAAGTAAAAACATTTTGGGATCTCAGATAATGCATATTCATTAGCAAGAATAATTTTTAATATAGTAGCCCAGTGGAAATTCAACAAAAAAATAGATATTTAAAGTGAGCCTTTTAAAAATAAATAACATTATAATCTCCCTGCTGTAGAATTATATGACTAATAAAGATTCTAAAACATGAATAATACTTAAAATACATTGTATTATTATGTCATATAAAGTGGGCAATTCTTATCCTGCTTTTATAGACAATTCTGGCCACATTATTGATTTTACTCTTAAAATATGGCTATTTTTAAATTGAAGTGAGGAACTAACAATGCTTCACCAGTTGCCTATATGTGTATATAACCTAAAGTTGGCATTGCCAAAGTATGTTGAAACAAATGAACTACACAAGGATTAAAACTAAACCACAATTTTGATTAAACAGTAAGAATTTTAACAAGTCACTAGAGTGAAGAGACAAAATGGGAAGAGAAAAATTTTGCTATCTGACACAGGATTAACAACCATAAAATAAAAGGAACTCTCAAAAGTAAACTTCTGAAAAACCATCATCCAATTAAATGGGAAAATGAATTGCACAGACAATTCTTGAATAAAGTACAAATGGCCAATAAATGAATGTGTTCAACAGCCTTGGCCACAAAAGAAAATTTATCCTCACTGCTATCAGAATGGCCATCATCAAGAGTACAAGCAAGAACGAATACTGTCAAGGATGCAGGGATAAAGAAGTTTCACACGCTTGGTGTGAAGGTTAATTAAGGAAACCAGTGTGGACATTGGTATGGAAATTCCTCAATAAAGTAAAAATAGATCTACATGTTATCTTGAGATTCTCCTCTTGGCTTGTTTGTTGATAATAACTTATATATCCTCAAGCAGAAGCTCCAGCAAGAAAATGTCTGAGAGAATCAAAATAAAGAATTCTAGGTGCAACTTGGTTCTTCGAAATGTTTAGGGATTCCCCCAACCATGTAATAAATAGTAAATATTTATAATTAAAAGATTCTGCTTTATAGTTACTTGTCTTTGAGGCAAAATGACTTGGCTGTCTCTTTCCTGTTCTTATGATTTGGTACTTAAGGCTTAGCATTTCTTTTTTTCTTATCTGTTTGCTCCTAAAAACTGTTATTTTTATTTTTAAATTGACACATAACATAGAATATGTCCTTGCTTAATGTTCAAGGCAGAGTATGTGTTTCTGTCTCCTCAAAAATTTATTATTTTGGGCTGGGAAGGTGGCTCAGTGGTAGAGCGCTTGCCTTGGATGCCTGAGGCCCTGGGTTTGATTCCTCAGCACCACATAAAGCAAAATGAAAAAAGCCGGAAGTGGCGCTATGGCTCAAGTGGTAGAGCGCTAGCCTTGAGCTGAAGAGCTGAGGGACAGCGCCCAGGCCCAGAGTTCAGGCCCCACAACCGGACCAAAAAAAAAAAAAATTTATTATTTCACTATGATTAAAGTACCAGTAATTCTTCATTCAAAACCAATGCATTGTGTCCAGTCTTAATCTCTTTCATTGTTTTTCAGTCATATGAACATGTCTCTGCCAAGCTCACATTTCAGATTTTTTGACCTACTGTTTGTATACATAATTACTGACCATAATTTATATGTGTTGATAGTATATAATTAAAATCAATTGCTAATATATAATAACTAGATGTAATAATTATAAAATCATATTCGATCAGTTATAAGTAACATATAAATAACTTGGTATACATATTACCTAAGCAAAGTTAAACTTACTTCAAAGCATAATTAATATATATATATATATATATATATAAAACAAATATTGGAAGAAGCTAACATAAGCTTAATAGTACAGAACCAATTATAGTTTGAAAAGATACTTTAGAAGAAAGACAGGAAGAAATGAAGGGAAAAGAGAAATAAGTGAAGTAAGGAAGGAATGAAAGAAGAAAGGCAAGAGGGAGGCAGGTAAGCAGGAAGGTGAATAAACAAGAAGTAAAGAAGTAAAAAAGAGGACATTTAGGAACTTTAAATACTAAATTTGTATGCCTTTGCATGCCTATATTCTTCTAGAAAACTAACAAATGATATGGAAATCTCAAGAAATTTAAGTGCAAGACTTGTGAGTAATAATTAAATTTTAGTATGTTATCATCTGATCATGATGGACAATTTTTGAAGCTTTAAGTACAGAATTAAACTAAATTTCTGGACCTTGACTTCAAGATTAGGCAATTTTATAAATTTTTCTATATCTCTGCTGACCTTCACCTTGTAATTTTCAGAAACATCCTGTTCTTTATAAGTTCTTAAATGATTGCCTTATTTCCCCACAAGCAAGTTGGCTTAAGAAAGCAAATACTCACAATACAGAGGACATATCATGGAAAGCACAGAGACGGTTGTTAAACTACTCCTCTGTGTTGCCAAATCTTTGAGGTTTTACATTCTAAACCTGTTAGGAGAGAAACAAAGAAATGCATTAGCTAAATGTGCTATGTATATTAGAATAGTAACTAATAATAACAACAACAGACCTAAAGTAAATACACATTTTGCAAACTTGAAAATTTTTGTAGGCATTATTTTCACCTGTTTTTCATTCATTTATGATTTTTTTCAATTTTTAGGAAAATGTTATTGAACCACATGAGTCAATAGTATGTACGTATATATATGTGTGTGTGTGTGTATATATATATATATATATATATATATATATATATACTAAAGGCAATATTAAAAAGGTAAAGTTATGCATGGTGATGTACATCAGTAATTCCAGCATTTAGTAGGCTAAGGCAAGAGGATTATGACTTTAAGGCCAGCTTAGGCTATGTAATTAGATCTTGTCTAAAAAAAAATAGTCAATGTTGTAATCAAAAATCTAAATTACTCATAACATTCAAATACATTTTGTGCTGTCTATTTTCATGGTTTTCACTTATAGAAACAAAATTAAGTAAAACAAAGTTACAGAATTGTCTGGACATTTAAAATTATGTGGACACTTAGGAAAATAAAGATTAAATAATTAAATTACTTGCCTAATTATCTATAATTTCATGTTGGTATGTGGCAGTCAATATGTATAATTAGTCCAAATGAAAGCATTTTCAGATTTCCTTCAATTATCTATTCTATAATAAATGATGCTTAGATTTAATATAAAATGAAAAATAAGTACATTGACATTCATCATCACAGATAGGACCAAATTTAAATTAGAAAATAAAATAAACTAAAATAGAGAGCAGATCTATTTCCCCTCTAAGACAATACCCCTTAAACCTGTGTTATATGCATCTATTTCCTGCCCAGAATGTGTTTTCTCTATAGAGCAGACTCCATTCAATCACATGTAGCTGGAAGTTTCCAAATGTATCTGTTATCTGCCCCACATTTAATACACACACATACACACACACACACACACACACACACACACACACACACACACACACACCTTTGTTCCAATTCTATGAACCCCAAACAGTTGAAATTTTTTCATCCTTAAATCAGTAAATTTTAATTTTTGGTGAGTTTACACTTAACCTTGGATTATGCTCAGTAGAGAATGAAATTAATTTTCCATCCAATTTAGTAACACCCTCCCATATATTACACACACATATATACATACACACACTTATTAGATTTAAACATCGTTGAAAAAATACTGTCTTGGGAAAATAGATGTGTTATGATGTAAAAATTGCATCTGATTGTTCTCTTTCAAATATACAAAATGATCTAAATATATAACTTTGTTTATGTTTTGTAACATTATCTAGTGTTTTGTAAGAGTGTGAAATTATCATGTAGTCAATACCAAAAGGTAGGTTTTGCTTTCCTCATATTTTGAGCTTTTGATAATTCAAAGAAGTAACTGATATTTGGAGACTGGAATGGAATGTATGTGGCTGGTGGTTATATCCAGATAACTTCAAAGTGTCTCCTCTTTCTGATTATAGCTTTCATTTGCACATGGCTTCTTGGGTTTTATTCATAAGACTGTTTCTGCCTACAGATCTACTTACAGGAGTGTTAAAGCTCCAGATTAGAAAATGAGTGAAATGTTTTGTAGGTAGTCAAATTTCTTTGTTGAAACTATGTCTATCTGTGCTAAGGTCTATAACATGAGCAAATCCTCAAATACGATTCTTTGTATACAAAGTATGTGATATATTGTTTATAATTCCTGACATAAGGATTAAAACATTTGCATATAGAGAAAGGAGTAGTAGCTTTAGAAATGCCTAATTAGGGAATGGGAGGTGTGGCTCTAGTTGTAGACCTTGGACAGTTAGCAAAGGAGCTGTACTGAGAGCTGAAGGTGCTGAATTCATGCCCTAGTAGTGGCACAAGAAATAGAGGATGGAAGGAAGGAAGGAAGGAAGGAAGGAAGGAAGGAAGGAAGGAAGGAAGGAAGGAAGGAAGGAAGGAAGGAAGGAAGGAAGGAAGGAAAGAAAACAGAGAAGAAGAAAAAGAGACAAGTAGAAAAAGTGAGAAAGATAAAGAGACAAAGAAGAAAAAAGAAGAAAGAAAGATGAAGGGAATAAAGGCAGATAGGAAGAAAAGAAGGAGAGGAGGAAGGAAAAGAATGTCTAATTAAGGGATGTTCAGTTCCTTATCTGTAATTCTGATGAGAGAATACTCCAGTGATTAATACCATGCCAACACTCAGTACACAGTATTAGGGAAGGATGATCTTTGGCTATGATGCAACATGGGTAATGATCCAGAGCAGAGTGACCACTATAAGGACTACAGATAAAAAAAAAAAAAACGAATATGATGCTGTAATTAACATTTAAAGGATCATTTAAATGATCTGTAGGTGTTAAAGGGAAGACAATATTCAGACCAAGGGCTGTTTTAGTAGTTGAGTTGAAAGAGGATGGTTTTTACATTGCTGGCAGTTGTGATAGCAAATATGTTTAAATTTGATGATATATTTGAATAAAGTATATGATTCTGATTGATTAATTTTATCATTTCATATATGAACCTAAATCTTGAAAGATCATTATAAAATTTCTTCTGTAGCAAAGTTAATTTGAATAATAGAATCAGGTCTTTTTTAATTAAAAGTCTTCAATAAAATTTCTCATTTTAATGAAACAAATATATGTTAAATTTGATTGTGACATATTCATCTTGGAAAAGAAGGCTCATAAACGTAATCATTTTCATCAAATAAAATTTTCATTACACTTACAGCAGCATGAGGGGATTTAGCTTAAGGTATAAATCATAATTTACATTCTATGTTTGAGTTATTTTGCCTTGAAGGCTTGAAGAGTTTTTTATTTATTTATTGTAAAGGTGATAAAGAGGGGTGTACAGTTATATAAGTAGGGAATTGAATAGAGTATATTTCTTTGTAAACACTGCTACCCTCTCCCTCATTTTCTCCTGCTTACCACTCCCCATGCCCTCCCTATGTTGTAAAGTTCATTCCCAACAGTGTCTAGTGGGTATCATTGTTGCAGTAGTTCATCCTTTATCCTGCTATTTCTGTGATTCCTTTTCCCTTCCATGGATCAGATAAGCTTATATACAAGAAAAAGGGTACATAAAACTAAAACACAAAGAAAAGCAGAAATAACTGAATACAGGACATAATAAGAGCCTCTTCTTCCAATTCTTGGAATCCATTTTTATACCTTTAATTATATATAGTTCTATGTATATATGGTTCTAGCGATTGGGCTATTGTGATCCTGTGCTAAGAATATCATAGATGTAGTCTAATTATTACAAGTGAAGGAAATCATGAAACCTATATTTCTTTGGGCCTGGATTTCTTTGTTTACTGTTATTTTTTCTAAGTCTTTCCATTTCTTTATGAATGGGCCAATATCATTCTTTCTGATAAGCATAGAAATCCATTGTGTATATATACCACATCTTCTTGATCCATTCTAGAAATCAGGTCTTATGCAGGATAGTTCATTTAATTTGGGCAAAATTGACCACAGGGGGAAAATACAGACACACATTAGTTTTGCATAATTTTCTTTCAATTACTATCAGACTAGTTGACCAAATATGCTATAAATTATTAGTTACAACAAATATCTGACATGTAATGAAAGAACAGGGGAATAGAAAGATGGAACATCAATCATAAAATAAAAAAATTAGAGCATATCAAATAATCTTGGAAGAAGCATCTTAAATATATTCAAAACTTACTTTCATTAATAGGAACGTGCTCATTAGTTTAGTTCAGCAGCCATGTTTAAAGTACATGGAATTTTAGACAAATAATAAGAATTACTATATGGAATGAAGCAAATAAATTTGCTGCCAAAAGAGATCAAAGGGGCAATTACTATGATTATAGTTTAAATACATTGAAAAAAATTATTGTAAAGGGGTTACAGTTAGGGGTTATGTAAGTCAGGTCTTGAGTACATTTCTTGTTTAATACAATTTTTAAACTTCAGAATTGCTAGGCTGGACTTCAGGATCCTTTTAGATCAATAGAAAATTTCTAAATGTCTACTACGTCACAGAGAGCAGTTTTCTGACACATTTTCTCTGCCCATGAAAGGTTCACAGTATAAGAGTACAGTATAAGGAGAGAAAGAGCGAAGAGGAACTTTGTTCAAAATGTCCAGCTGGGGACACAGATGTAACGGCATTCCATTTTACTTGTCAGGGTTTAATAGAAAATGTGCAGTACAAGGTGAAGGCTGAAGGATAATCAGGCAGTTCTGCATGAACTAAGATAAGCATGGCAGGGATAATACAGTTTGGGAGTAAAAAGTAATCTATAGTGGAGCAGAGTGACAGGAAGTGTGAAAGAAGACAGAGGATGTGCAGGAGGCAGGTTGGGTAAGCAAAGGACTGGAAATTGTAAATCTCATGGTCATGAGAAGAGCCTGAAACTCTCTGAATGATAGCAGCTGATGATAAAATAATAAAACAATACTCACTGCATAATGTACTTTAAGGGTATATATTGATGTCTGTATTATAAAGAACAGGTAATTAAGGAATGCATATAAATATATATTCACACACACACACACATATATACACATTTATACACATGCACACATAGGCATGCACACAACACATATATTAATATCTATGCCTATATAAATAGCTCTATGTCTATAGCTACAGCCATATATTCTCATACCCATGAGAATGTCTACCAGGTGACTTTATTCCTATTTATATCTGAGGGTTACATAGAATACAGAGAATGAGGGATTTGAAGTACAAAGTGATCACATGATTTGTCCATGTTGATCCATTTTGTGAGTGATACAGTAGAACAGGAAGCCAGCATGGTTGACTGCAGAGCCCTACTCTGTCCCACACCCTCACCTAATGTGATCCATACATGGTTCTCTCTCTCATTGTCTCTTTCTGTCTCTGTCTTTGTCTCTCTCATACAAAAAAGAAAAGAAAATCACTTACAATGC